CAAAGCGACAGGGAGATGCAACAGGAGCAATGCCTGCAGGAATTAAATGCTTGCTGGCAATCTTACACAGAGCAGAAACTCAGGTGAACCCAAGAAAAGTCTTGCCAAGTGACGTGAGTGCCACAGCAACTCCAGATCACTTGAGCTTCAGCTGGACTTGGGAAAGGCTTCTCTAAAGCCCCTTCCCTGGGGGCCACCCCAGCACCCACTGGTGGAGCAGCACTGCTGAACAAAATAGCAGGAACAAAGCAAACACCAGTCAGGATCAAAGGCCCTGAATGACCTGCGTCAGGAACTCAAAGGGGATAAAACAAAATCCAGAAACACATCATTTACCACCAAAGCAGAGCAGAGGGCACAACATATATTATCCCAAAAGTACTCAAAACCTGACAGAGATGATTTTAGCTCTGTCAGGACAAGTTAAAAGCACCTGAGGCCAGTGGGGAGTGCCCAGAACTCTTCCCAGGGGCAGCCAGCCCGGCACCAGCCCTGCTGAAATAGCCTGAACACCCAAGCAGAGCACACAGTACTGCCACCCTGGCACCTCATGAGATGCACTGCTGGCACCGCTGCAGTGCCAGGGTGTTTTCCCAATCAGAGCAGATGCTGCTTTCAACAGGTCAGAGAAAGGGCAGAGCAGGGGGGCACCCATCCGCATGTGATTCACAGAAGCAAAGACGCTCCGAGCCTGGCCACGGACTGAACTCCCTTCTCTGGGCAAGGACAAGCAGCTTCCAGCAGCAGGGCAGAACACAGAGCACAGGGGAAGCCTGATCTTAAGTGCTGCCGACCGGAGGCAGGGGGGGAGGCCGAGCAGGGCCAGCACAGCTTTGTTCGGCAGTTCCCGGCCGAGACCCCCCTCGCAGCAGGCAGCAGCACAGGGGAGCACACAGCCCCGCACCGCTCCCCACACTGCCCTGCTCTCTCCACAGGCAGGGGCTCAGCGGCCCCCCAGCCCGCCCGCACCCCCAAACCACAGAGCCCGGGCAGCACCGCCTTGCACACCCCGGCACCCGGCTCCAGAGCCGGGCTCACCCACACCCAGCCGGGCAGCGCGCCCCGAGCCCAGCGGCCCCCCCCACCCCGGGGCACCCCCTAACGCGGGCAGCGCTCCCCGCAGCCGCAGCCACCCCGAACCCAGAGCACACCCGCCCCGCGCCCACAAACACCCCGAACCCGAGATTCCCCTACACCTGCCCGCAGCCCCCGGGGCGAGGAGCCCCCCGCAGTCGGGCGCGTCCCCCACAGCCGGCCGGCACTCCCCGAGCCGGCCGCGCCCCGAGCCCCCCCGGGACCCCGCGCCGCCGGGGCCGGCAGGAGGAGCCGGGGCGGGCCGGACCCCGCGGCCGCCGCACTCACCGCCCGCCCGGCCGCGCCGCCGCCGCCGCCGCTACGGCGACCCGCGAGGGCCATGGCGGGCGGGCGGGACGCGTTGCCGGGAGACGGGCGGGACCCGCTCGGAGCTCGGGCAGTGCCGGGCAGGGAGCCCTGCCCGGGGAAGGGGGAACGGGCAAAGACTCCCCCGATGCCCGTGTGAGCTTTCCCCGGGGAAACAGAACAGGGCCTGGGCAGCCGGCCAAGGCCAGTCCGCCCGAGGGAGGCCGGGGAAGGTGCTGCCGACCCCCGGGAGACAACAGCTCTCGGGGCCCAGCCCCGAATGCTGCCCCTGGAGAGAGAGGAGGAGGAGGAAGACGATACTTGGGTGTGGAGTCCCTCAGGGCAGTTTATTGTGCCAGTGGAGTGGGGACAGGGCCAGCACTCGGGACGGCGGGTCCGGGGTGGCTCTGGGGGCTCTGGGCCCGGCTTTCCAGGCAGGAGTGATCTCTGACCTCCAGGGGTGCTGGAGCTCAGCCACCAGTGAGATAGAATCACAGAATCATGGAATGGTTTGAGTTGAAAGGGACCTTAAAACCCACCTCGTTCCACCCCCTGCAATGGGCAGGGACACCTTCCACTATCCCAGGATCGTCCAAGCCCTGTCCAATCTGGCCTTGGACACTTCCAAAGACGGGACATCCACAACTTCTCAAGGAAACCTGAGGCAGGGCCTCACTGCCCTCACAGGCAAGAACAACTTCCTTATAGCTAATCTAAACCTACTCTCAAATTGAAGCCCTTCCCCCTTGTTCTGCTGTTGCCGATTTTAAGAGCTCTCTAACTCAGATACAGTCTAATTTAAAAAGGAGACATTGTTTATTCTGTGCAGGGTGCAAGATGGAGGTTTCCACAAATCAAGCCCATGAACTATCAAAACTTTCAACTATTTATACATTGTAGCAAATAAAGGAATTAGTGTTTATTGGCTGCAAGTTATGTAGTTCTTTTATTGATTAGAATCTTTTATTTGTTCACATGCTAATTAGACTGCATACTAAATCTTTTTCTTCTTTTGGGTCCGTGGTCCATGAGTTGGTGGTTGCAGATCCTCCTGCCATCATCACCTTTTACCTCATTGGAGCTGATTCCAGCACAGTTACTGAGTTGAGTTTATTAGTTTCTTCCTTATCTTGGGACTTCTGCCAGATGTCCTTGTGGCCCATAAATTCTGCATTCTTTATGCCCACTATCAGTGGTCTCCCCAAGCCTCATTAACCTCCCCCTAGGTTTGAGATCATTGAAGCGCGTCCAGCCTTCCACTGGACCAGGTTGCTCCAACCCCTGTCCTATCTAGCCTTGAACATGTCCAGATGATCTCCAGAGGTCCCTTCCAACCCCACTGGTGATTTCACTTTCCTCCCTGTCAGCACCACACTGGTAGGGCTGCACTTGAAGTACTGCCTCTGGTTCTGGGCTCACCAGTACAGGGGACAGAAGTGACCTTTGAGCCTGGCCTAGGTTCACATGTGCCATCTGCTCAGGCACAGTGGGTAGTCAGGGCACAGCACAGGACCTCAGGATGGCACCTAAATGTCACAGGTGACTCAGCATCTTTCTCCTGAATCCCTTAGCACTTTGGTGATATGCTGCCTCCAGAACAAAGAGCAGGAGGGCTGAAAGGTGGAGAGTCATGGCAGAGATGGACTTTTTTCCAGTGCAATAAACTGCCTTTCAGAGTCAGCCTGAGCCTTGCTTTGGTGGAGTAGGAACATGCAAGTGGCAGTGGATCTCTGGAGATGCCAGAAAGGGGCATATGTGAGTAAAGAGAGTAGGGGGGGGCCCTCTCCCTGGCAACTCTCACCCTTACTGCTCTGGCTTGAGAGACAGCACAGCCAGCTGGGAACATGACAACTGTGCTGCCTTGGGCACAGGTAAGAGGCAAAGCATTCTGGTGACCCTGGGCCTGGCAGTGAGTACCCAGGGTGGGCTTGGCAGAGCCTGTCTGCTCCAGAAGGGCTGGGGGCACTGCCCTGGCCTATCCTGCCCCAGGCCTGGGGTGGCCCTGACATTCCTGCTGCCCCTTACAGCCTCGAGGGATGACTCAGAGCTCAGCATGGACAAAGAGTTGGGATTGGAATCTTCCCACAGCCTGCCAGCACCTGACACCATCAGCCCCAGCACAGGCAGCCTGGTGCCATCAGAGCTCCAGCACCACCAGCCAGGCATCGTCGGGGTCCTCCTGTGCCTCCCATGATCTAGAAAGCGGCAGATGCTCCAGCAGCCCTGGGCCTGTGTGGATCCGAGACCACTCCCACCTGCAACGTCAGGCCCAGAATCCCCACAGCCAGCCTGGACACGGGCACTGGACCTGCTGTACACCATTCCCAAATGTTGGCTCTGATTCTACTCCATCAGCACAATAAAGTGCACTGAAAGGCACCACTCTCACATGTCACCTTCCTCTTCCTCCTCCTCTCTCTCCACAGGCAGCATTCAGGGCTGGGCCCAGGAGGTTGTTGTCTCCCAAGGTTTAGCAGCACCTTCCCCATCCTCCTCCTTTTCAAGGCCAGCCTTGACTGGTTCCCCAGCACCATGGCTGAAAGCTTTGGGCCTCACTGGCCCCAGGGGCTGCTGTTCTGAGACAGCCTCAAGGTGTTATCTAATAACAGAGGAGCTCCAGAAACTCAGCAGCTTTCTTTGGATGTCAGCCATTCCCACGGCTGTGACAGGTGTCTCCACAGGGTCCTGCCCTTCAGCTCTGGGTTCAGAGCAGGGAAGGCTCTAGGAACTCTCTCAGGTCTGACAACAGTACCTGACCACAGGACCACTACACTGGGCCACTAGGAGCAGAATTCTTTATGTCTTGAAGTTTGAAATTGCAGGGATTCTCCTTGCTATGTAAACCCAGGTCTCCTACAGCAGACTCACAGAAATGTAAAGGTTTCTGTCTGAGAAACAGTAACTTTGCAGTCTTTCTCACTCCTCTTTCAAAGTATGGGGAGATCACACCATCACACAATTCAGGCAGTCTTTTCATCTGAGCACCAGACACTGGGGCACAGTCTTTCACCCTGCAGACTCACTGAATAATTCACTTCTGGAAAGCAGCTGATTTTCTCCACTACTGCCTCTATTTACTTGTCTCTGCAAATATGACAACAACCTCCTTGAACTCACAAACAATTCGAGGTCAGGTATGGCAAACAATCCACAATTCATACGTGCTGATGGTTTCACCATTTGGTGGAGCTCAAGAAACAGCGTTTTTTTGTTTTGTTTTGTTTTTTCCTAGAAGCCACCTTGGGAAAGCTCTTGAACTCGGGAGATCTTCCTCCGAGCCACACACCTGGACCTGCCCAAGTCTTTGGCGTGCCTGGGACTACATAGAGAGAGCAACCACGTAGCCTGAGCCAGACTTATCCCACACACCCTGAGGCGGACTTATCCCTCACAGCCTGAGCCAGACTTATCCCTCACAGCCTGAGCCAGACTTATCCCTCACAGCCTCAGCCGGACTTACTTATCCCTCACAGTTGGAGCCGGACTTCCCGCCACGAAAGGGCTGCAGACGAGAGGATTGCCCCAGGTGCAAGACGTTTGTCAGTGACTGCGGGCCCACTTAACACACGGTCAAAAAGCGGTGTCGGGGGGCTGGAGATCAGGTCTTGCCATCTCGCCCCGCCCTCTCGCCCGGCCACCGCCCCTTCCCGCTCACCCCGGGGGAGCCGCTGCCCTCATGGCGCTGGGCCGGGGCGCGCTCGGCCTCCTCAGCCTCCTCCTCCTGCTGCTGCTGCTGCCGGCGGCCGGTGAGTGCGGGGCGGGGGTCTGGGCGAGCGCTGAGGGGGAGGGTTGTGGGGCTCCAGCGTCGCTTCCTCAGGCGGTTCCGCGGCCGGGGTTTCGCCCCCGGGGGGACGCGGCCGGAGCCCTCGGCTGGGGGCAGCCCCAGGCTGCGGGCAGGGCCCCCCTCAGCCCGGCCCGCCGTGCCGGGGTGTGGGCCGAGGGACGCGGGGGTTTGGGGCTGTGTGGCCTCAGCGCCGCCGGGAGGTGGCACGGCGGCTTTGTGTTCGCCGGGGGAAAAGTTCTGCGGGAAGCGAGGTGGGTTTGTGTTAGCTGGCACAAATGAGTGCCCGGTGGTGACCGTGAGGCCCCAGCTGGTGATAACTGAGTTACCCGCTGGTAACTAAGGTAAGGTTGCTGCAGGGAAACGATGGACTGAAGCGGCCGCCGGTCACTCCTGATGCATCCCCTTAAAAACCTTAACCTTGTTACTCTGCTCCTCCCCCCCCCCCTCCCCCGCCTTCCCCCGTGAATTCTACCCTTTTACAGCAAGATAATAGACATACTCAGGTATTAAGTGATGATATTTCATAAACAACGCTGCTTAGGGAAGCTTGCTTGATAATAGTGTTCGTACATAGCTGTCGAATGCTAATAGGGGTAACTGAGCTTTTTTTCAGTAGTCCTGTGGTGTGGTCTTCCCCAGCTTTGTTGTTGTGATGAGAAAAAGCAAATGCCAGCATAGGGACTTAGCAGGTGAAGTCTCAGGAAAGGAGAAGCACTATTGATATTGTGTGCATGAGCGGCATCACTTCATCTGACAGATCATATTCTGCACAGATGTGCAGGAAAGGTGATTGTGACATGCAAGAAGACATTTAACTTAGTCAGAGTGGTCCAGGATCACAGTTTGTCTGGGGGGTGGGGGGGGTGATCTGAAGTGCGTGTGGCTGAAATTGTCAGAGTTTTATCTGTGAGTATTTTGAGGGGTAACCACCAGAAAAAGGGTGCTTTAAGCTGACTCACCATGACTGTGCTACAGTAGTAACTGTATGGCCTCAAATAAATACATTTGGAAGCTAGAAGTGTTCTTATTGGAATGGTTGGTGAGTTTTGGTGGGAAAAGCTTAGTAGCTTTGCTCTCAAGATGGAATTTGGTTAGTTTGTTGAAGGGTTTGTGTGGTACTGATTGTGTGAAATCATCCTGCTGTCCTGCAGGGTAGAATGAATAGGATGAACCTCTCAGTAGCAGATACACCAAAACAGGAGGTCGTGTCTGCCTTCCTTAGGCTCAGCCTTTCCGTAGTGGTGGGTTGAGTGTACACTGGGCCTCTTTTGAGGTGATTCAAATCAGTAACCCATCAGAATACCTTGAGAGGAAAAAAAGTCCCACACATTGATCTGCTGATGAGCTGGTGAATCAAATCAATTGAGGAAGAATCCAACAGGGGCCACAGCTGATGGAAGAAGTGAGGAACAAACTAGAGGCACCAAATTCTTTCACCTTGGTGTGCTCAGCCCTTGCTGGTGCAGCTCAGCTGCCTGAGAACTGGCCTAGACCTTTGGTTTCTGTAGTTATTTTGTTGTGCTGCAGTAGCACGATTGTGAGATGGAGGGAGGAGTTTTCTTGGTTGTCTTGTTTTGTTTGTAATTTCACAAGGTGAATGTGAATCAATTTAGTTACCTGTCACTTCCTTATAGGGAATACAGGAAGGATAAATCAGCCATAAGCCTGTGTAAACCTGTTAGTTGAAGTAGTGTGGTATTGGTACAGAAATTCTTTGTTTTTGTTTAATGAACCTCCACATTTAACCACTGGAACGTTTTGTTTGGGTGGTTTTTTTTTTTTTTTTTTTTGCTATGTCCTTGGTTGAAATATTTATGTATGTCTTGATGCCAGAGAGTCAAGACCGAGTTTTCAAATGCTATAATCAGTTTAAATACTCCAGGAAAACTGAGGGAACAGGATTTGTTGTCTTTACCTCTTGTTTACTTTCTCTGAACAACTACACCTGAAGGAATTTCAGCTTTTTGGATGGAATGTGGTTTGGGAGAAAAATATCAGTCAATGTCTTCTTAATGTGATATGTGATAGGAAGGAAAATGAGGAAGAGAAACCATGTCACTGCAGCATTTATCTCTGAAAAATGAAGTTATATGCTTCTTAGGAAATGAGTTTTGCTTAAGCTTTGAGAAGTATTTTTATGTGACAGTTGGAAGCTTTTAATATGCCATTTTTATGTTGCAGTTAATTCGGGTTTGGGAGGGCAAAGAGAGAGAGAAAGCAACCAGTTTGTTAAGGAATGTATCAACCCAATGCAGTGTTGAAAAGCATGGGATGTCCCCTAAGGAAGCCATCCTAATATGTGAACATCCTCATTTCCTCACCGTTGTAGCTGCACCAGTTGATGCTTGCAATGGGAAGATGCCACTAGGCTGATTTTAGCCCTAAAAAATCTCTATTGTGCGACATCTGTTTTTATGCAGTGGATTAACAGGATTAGGATTTCCTGTGAAGAAAATGAAGCAACAGGCAGAAACAACCAAGTCACATGGAAATTCAAAGGTGCAGTGGATGTGGTGGTGTTGCATCATTTGCATCAAGTCAAATCTCTAGGAAAATTTTAACATTTTCTCCTAACTGATCTTGGGGCCTGTGTGGTATTTTTAACATAAATTTTATTTAACATACCTGGCTACTCACGTTGCTCTTTGAGTCTTTACAGTAATTTGGTAGCTACTATCAGATGCAGTGAACAGAATATCACCAGAATCTCATAAGTATATCTGCATGCATTTAGTCCTTTGTGCTTGTGTGAACGCTGGGATAGAGCTGCTTGAAGAAGACAATACTTGATGTGAGGAATAATTTGCCTTTGTTATACACTGAAGGAAATACTGGGTTTGTAAGACCTAACCACAATTCTTGTAACATTTAAGTGTTAACCTAGGTGAGCTGATCAGTATAAGAAAGAGACTTTATATGATTATTTCTTTGGTTACTAACCAGTGATTTATAACTCTTTTCAGTTTTGGGTGAGGATTGTCAGGCATATATTGATTATTCTGGCAAAGAACAACCTGCACAATCCTGTCCTGACTTCTGCTGCGGAAGTTGCGCACGTCGATTCTGCTGCTCCAATGTAATGTTAAGATTTGCCCAACAACCGTTGCAGTGTGTTCTACAGGATGGAAGGTAAGGAGGCAAACTGAATGTATACAACAGGTTATCATTCTGTCATTGAATGATAAAAATACGCAGTTAAATGGCTAAACCTTCCTAAGGGACCTTTCATCTCTATATCTGGCTCTGTCTGGGATCAACATTAATGTTTGTAACTTGTAAAACGGGAACGGTGAGGTGGGTAAATTGATGCATGAACTGATGTGTGTCTTCTTGAGCATTTTCAAATACTTATACCCAATTATTTTTTTCTTTGAGGATGTATGTCCCAGGAGATCTCTTAAATAAGTTTCAAGACGACGACCTCACAAAACATCTAGATGATTCTTCTGAGAAGGTTAAAGAGGCAATCAGAAAAATGCAGGAATTGGCCTCCAATATCCGGTTGGGACGAATCTTTAATATGCTTGGTTTTACTGTGGTGGGCTGGCTCCAAGGCCCAATACAACATGCATTAATGTTTGTTGTAACGATTATCGTTGTCAGTATTAGGATATCCTGTGTAAAGTCCTTGTAATTGAAAGCTGTAACTTTACACTTCAGAATGCTTCGGATTTAGGATGCTGGCTGTGTACCACTGGTACCTGCTCCAGATGGAGAATGAAAGGCATGCCAGATGAGGAGAGAGGACACTCTAAACTCACTTGCTGTGGAGTTGTGTCTGTAGTCACAGTGTGGATTATGTGGAAAACTGCTAGCCTTGCTGTGAAGAATCGATGGTAGAGCACAAACATGAGCTGAGCCATTGCTTATCTTGCACCTGGCTTAACCAGTGCAAGGCTTAACCAGTGAATGATGTCTGGGGTGAAGTGTTGGCCTCAGCTTGGTGTAGCCTCTGTAAAGCACAGAAGAGCACCCAGACCTCCGTGTGGAGATGTGAGCCTTGGCCCCCCCTTACCCCGGCATAATAGTCCTTGTCAGAAGTATAACTCTGGTCCTTGGAGGACCTACTGATGTGTGGTTGTAATGTGCTGATGGGAGCAAAGACTATCAGGCAAAGGTCAGATGGCCTTTGCTGCTGCCCCAGCTGGGTGGAGAAGGAGGGAGCAACATTGAAGTGTCACGGTTTTGTTTCTGCCTTTGATTCATCCATAAGTCCTATAACTCTATTTGACTGAAGGTAACAGAAACCCTCATTATAAAATTGATATTTGGAATCCTCCATGTAGAGGATGAGAATATGACCCCACTTTGCAGATGAGTTGCTGTGCTTGCTCCTCTCTCCTCCCCAGAGATGCTTCAGGAATGCCTGTCAGAGCATACCCAGGTGAAACTAAGCTTAATTAACAGTGAAAGTGAGCTTAGTGACAAGCTGGATTTGTTAATGTAGCATGAGTTGTTAATCAGTGCCCAACCTTAGTTATTTGGCACTAATTCAGTAAGTACATTGATCCATGGCTATTCTGAATCTGTTGTCTCAATGAACGGTCTATTTCTTTTTTTTGGACCTTACAAAACTGTCTTGAAGGATCTTTGTCAGGTAAATGTCAAGTCCATACTCCTAGTGCTGCAGATGACAATATAAGTCTCTCTTTTTAGTGTACATTACCTTTCATAAGCATGTGGAACTTAGCCAGGTAACTTAAATAAGTCATAAGTTCCATTTTTTGAGATGAATTCTCTTGCTACAGGATCTCTGACTCAGACCTGGGTATTTTTCAGGACCCTGATGATTTACCCGGCCCCAGGTAAGCCACGCAAGCTTTTAAAATGGGTTTTATTTAGCAATTCTTCATTGTGTAATCAGTACCCTGGACTTGGCAGTGCTGGGTTAACAGTTGGACTTGATGATCTTAAAGGTCTTTTCCAGCCTAAACCATTTCATGATGCTGTGCTGGAATGTGGGAATAGAAATACTTACCTGTGTGCTAAAAGTGTGGAGCACTCAAAATCTATGTACAAGTCAGAAGATGTAGAGACATGAAGAGGTTGGCTGGTGCTATTTAGACCATAACAATCTCTGTGTGTAATAGTCCACGCCCTCCCTGCTGAACAGGAGGTTGAAGCATTAGCACAGAATTACAGAACAGCTGGAGTTGGAAGGGACCTCTGGAGTTCATCTGGTCCAACTGCCCTGCCCAGGCAGGGTCACCTGGAGCAGGTGACACAGGAAACTGTCCAGGTGAGCTTTGAACATCTCCAGAGAGGGACACCCCACTTCCCTCCCTGGACAGCCTATTCCAGTGTTCTGTCACCCTCAGAGGAAAGAAGTTCTTCCTCATGTTGAGGTGGAACATCCTGTGTGTTAGTTTATGACTGTTACTCTTTGCTCTGTACTCATAGAAAATCCACAGTGGTTGAGGAAGAGAATCTGCTTTTGTTTGAAGTATCTCCTTGGTTTTCTGGCATCTTTTGCCCTGAAGTTTTAAACCATATTTCTCCTTCTGTTTCAATCTGTGGCAAAAGTAAATTCCTTTAAGCCTGTGTTGGTGATGGCAGGAGTCCTGCTGTAAAAAACACATCAGCTTTTCACAGTGTGGAAGATGACAGAGGGCAGGGGTAGATCATAAAATGTTAAGGGGTTGGAATGGACTTTTAAAGATCACCTAGTCCTAACCCCCTCTGCCATGGGCAGGGACACCTCCTGCTAGACCAGTTTGTTCAAGGCCCCATCCAGCCTGGTCTTGAGCACTGTCAGGGTTGGGGCAGCTACAACCTCCATGGGAAACCTGTTCCAGTGTCTTGCTACCCTCAGTAAAAACTTCCTTCCTAGTATCTAACTGAAATTTCTCCTCTTTCAATCTGTGCCCATTATTCTCTGTCCTGTCACTACAGTTCCTGATAAGAGTCCCTCTCCAGCTTCCCTGGAAGCCCTTTCAGGTCTCTGCACAACCTTCTCTTCTCCAGGATGAGCAACTCCAGTATCACAGAATATGCTGAGCTGGGACCCACAAGGATTATTGATTCCAACTCTTAGCCCTGCACAGGACCATCCTTAGGAGTCACACCGTGTGTCCAAATGTTTCTTGAGCTCTGTCAGCCTTGGTGCTGTACCCACTGTCCTGGGGAGCCTGTTCAGTGCCCAACCACCCTCTGGGAGAAGCTATTTCTAGTATCCAACCTAAACCTTCCCTGACACAGCTCCAGGCCGTTCCCTGGGGTTCTGTCACTGGTCTCCACAGAGCAGAGATCAGTGCCTGCCCCTCCCGAGGAAGCTGTAAGTGCAGTGAGGTTTCCCCTCAGTCTCCCCCAGGCTGAACAGACCAAGTGCCTTCAGCCGGGCACTTGTCTTCCCCTCAAAGCCCTCTCAGCCTGTGCCCATAGGGGAGGTGCTCCAATCCTTTTATCAGCCTCGTGACCCGCTCTGGACCCGCTCCACCACTTCCATGCTGGAGAAAGCAACGCTAAATGCTGGAGACAGCGGAGCGGTGGATGCCTGAGCGCGGGTTCGAGCGGCGAAGGGCGGCGGGAGGGACTCTCGGGCTCCCCTTTAAGGGGCGGTGCGGGGCGCGGTGACGTGCGCGGGGCCGGGCGGCGGGCGCGGGGCGAGCGGCGGCGAGCATGGGGTAAGCGATGGGGCGAGGGGGGCTCCGGGTGGGGCTGGCCGGCCGCGGGGAGACCCTGCCAGCCGGACTGGCACCCGGCGTGCCGTGCAGGGTCCGCCCGGTGCTCCCGCTGCCTCCGGCGGGGCGGCCGTGGGGCACCGGGCTCGGCACCGGCGGCGAGCGGGGCCGTGCGGGCGGCATCGCCCCACGGGGGTCGGGGCTCTGCGCCCTCCCCGGCACAGCCGGGCCGAGCCCCCCTGCCCTGTGCAACTCCAAACGCGGCTTTCCCTGCATGGGAGGAAGGAACCGCGCTGGAGGCACCTAAAGGCAGCGCTGCCGCGGCGGTGTGCGGGGGGTGCAGGGATGTCTTGGAGCCTTGGTCGCTTTTGGCAAGGTCTCTTCCATAAGGAAAGGGCTGATACAGCAGATATTTTGGAGGAGGGATGCCCCTTCCTGTCAGCTAGGCTGATCTTCCTTATCTTCAGATGTGTGGTTGCAGTACAGCAACCATGAGCCTGATCTTGCAGTCAGTCCTTGCTCTCTGTTAAGTGTCAGAAAACATTTAGGAAGGAGCGCTTAAATTGCTTTAATTATCTTTGTTTAAAGCTTTGGAATGTCTGCAAAAAGAATCAGGAATGTCTCCGCTTGAGGAAAATGGGTGATTTCCCTTTTCCCTTTCAGTTACATTGCAGGTTTGAAAGACTAGTGTTGTGCAAAGGCCTAGACTTAACATCAAACTTTCTGGTTAGGCGATTTTATTAGAAGGCTGTCCTTCAAAAGCCACCCGGATGTGACTCCAGAGGAAAACCACATCTCAGAACTTTCCAAAATGACTTAAGTCTGAGGTGTCCCATTTAGGGTGTTTCAGCACTGGGAATTGCAGTGAGTGAGGCTGACTGTGACCTCAGCCAGCAGGACACCAAGTAGGTTTTTGTTTTGTTACAGACATTGCCCAGGATTTTGTGTGGTGTGTGTTGAGGTTTTTGTATGTTGTTTTAACCAAGTAGTAAGCTCTATTTCTTCTGGAAGAGTTGTCCCTGGTTCCTTCCTGCAAGGTGTGCTCCACCCTCTCTCTCCATGCCAATTTCGTTTAAAAGACAGGTTTTGCATTTTTCCTTGATGACTGTGTTTATTTAATACTTTCTTGTGTGGAAAGAAGGTCTGATGTCAGTTGGGATATTTCTTTGTATCTTCAACAAGATAAACACAATCTTCAACCTTTTGTAATGTGAGGAGAGGCAACAAAGGGCAACTTCTTTTAGTGCCCTGTTCTTTCTCAAGAGTTGCAAATACTACCTTTGACACTGCCCTTGGAAAAAAAGGAGGTGATGGTTTCCTGGCATTATTGGTCAGAAAGCAATTTACTTCCCCGTTCTTGCATCAAGCTTCTTTCTAGATTGAGTTACCACCCTGACACATTGCTCATAAGTCCTGGGTTTTTAAGAGAACTTCCCGTCTCTGAGGGCTTCTCACAAACCATCTGTGGACTTGCTGCTAGACTCTGTGGTGTCTCTTCTCCCTAGGGAAGGGTTAATGCTGGAATGTGTGTTCTGTCTTGTCTAGCTCAGCTTTTAGTTTGCTTCTTTGCTGTGTCTATTCTGAGGTCTTCTGGAGAAGGGCAAGCAAAGAACCAGCTTTTTGTAGGCTTCTTTTTATTATTATCCTTTAATATTAGCATCTCTCAGTATTTAATAGCAGCTACCATGTGCTGTGGAGGCAGAAGGTGCAAGGCTCTGTGGGCAGTCCTATTAAGTGTACTTCACAGTTCATACCTCTGTAGTCTTTGGGCATTCT